GGATCAAGGATCTAAATCTAAGACCCCAAACTATTAAACTGCTTCTAGAAAACACTGGGGAAACTCCGGGAGACGTTGATGTAGAGAAAGACTTCTTACATAAGACCCCCAAAGCACAGTAGAGAATCCCCAAAATAGACAAGTGGGATTACATCAGACTAAGAAGTTTCTGCATGGCAAAAGACACAGTACTTAGTGTGAATCGATAGTCCTCAGAATGGGAAGATAAGGGTCTGATAAGCAGAATACACAAGGAACTCAAGGTGCTGTTTGGAAAAAAGATGATCAGCCCTATTAAAAGATGGGAGAAGGAGTTGAAAAAACATTCTCTAAAGATGACATATCAATAGCCAAAAGGCATATGAAAAAATACTCCACATTCCTCATTGTAAGGGAAATGCAGATCAAAACAACATTGAGATACCACCTAACCCCAGTCAGAATGTCCAAGATTAAAAAAACAAAAAATGATAAGTGTTGGCGGGGGTGTGGTGAAAGGGGAACTCTTTTACACTGCTGGTGGGAATGTAAATTGGTCCAGCCACTGTGGAGAACAATTTGGAGATTCCTCAAAAATCTACGAATAGAACTACCATATGACCCAGCAATCCCAGTCCTCGGTATCTACTCAAAGGCCAGAAGAACTCTTAATTGGAAAAGTGCTTCCACATTGATGTTTATTGCGGCATTATTCGCGATTGCTAAGACATGGAACCAACCCAAATGCCCCCGTACGGATGAATGGATTGAAAACCTGTGGCACATATACTCTATGGAATACTATTCAGCCATAAAAAAAAAAAAAAACCCTGGCTTTTGACAAAATTGGAAGAATATGGAACGCATACTGCTGAGTGAAGCAAGCCAGGTTATAAAGGAGAGACACTGTATGTCCTCACTTAATATATATCGTGTGTCTGCACTCTATAACTGAAACTGATTGACCTAAGGTTGTACAAACACAAGCGATGGGGGTTAGTGCCAGAAGTGGAGTGTGTGGAGAAGAGGGACCTAAGGAAGGAGATTTGGAAGAGGGATACGAAGAGATTATTGACGGGATGGGGAGGTGTGGTGTTATTGGTGGAAGATACTCTGATTAACTGGACTGGGGAGAAATGTTCACACACATATTGAAATGTTCACTTTGTAAGCTAAATAATATGATTGAATTTATATAAAAAATTTAAAAAGTGAAAAAAATGTTGTTTCTCCATTATGCCTCAGTTAAAAGCAAGTATTTATTTTGCATGGAAAAAACTGCAGTATAGTGATCATAGCGACAATTTACCAGCTGAACTGTTGAGTAATTATTGCTTCTATACTATAGTGTTATTATGTTACATTTATCTAATAAAGGTTTTAATATTAAATTGAAAGGGAATTTACTAACATTACAGATTTATTTTTGTATCTTAGAATGTTATTCTGTGATGTTGGTCAGGTCAAATATTAATTTTAATACTTGGGCATATATCTGTGATCCAAAAAACTGCACTTGAAAATATGTATAAATATAGTCAATCCCTCATTTAGTAGGGGTTGGGAAAACTAAAAATAATTTATTTAAATATCTTTCAGAAGCTGGGACCAGCAGATGGCATAATGGTTATGTTGCTGGACTCCAATGTAGTTGACCATGGTTCAAGTCCCAGACCTGATAGCTTAAAACTCACACCAGGCACACGTGCGTGCATACCTAAAATCCCAAAAGGAGAATAGAGGAGAAGGGACTGCAGCATGACCATACCTCTGGGGGTGATTTCTTGCTTTCTTTCTCTATCTCTCTCTGTTTCTTTGGCAAGCACACACGCCCTTTAGAACTTTAGAAAAACTTAAAAAAAAAAAAAAAAGTCCTTTAGAAGGACTTGATTTGTAAATTATGGAAAAATATAAACAATAGATTGATACTCAAGGGGCCGGCAGGTGTTAAAGGCACTAGACTCCCACATGGCCAACCACGATTCAAGTCCTGGGCTAGGTGGCTTGCTTTCTTGCTTTGATCAAAAGTGGAAAATAATAATAATAACTAAAGTTAAATAAAATAATTCTTTAAAATTTAATATCCAAATATATTGATGAATATAAAGGTAATTTTCAAAACAAAAAAGTATGTATGATACTATATGTGTTAAATATATCATAAATATATGCTATATAATACATATTGCATTTAAGTAGGTTTAGAAAATATCTCAAAGTAGATAAAAGAGATTATTAATAATTTTTTAGAAGTATTTATTTTATTTTTTTATTTTTAAACTTTTTTAGAGGTTTTTGCTATAGGGCGTGTACGCTCGCCAGACAGACAGAGAGAGACAGAGAGACAGAAAGCTAGAAATCACCCCCCAGGGGGGATGGCCACACTGCAATCCCTTCTCCTCCATTCTCCTCTTGGAATCCTGGGCACACACGCACACACGCCTGGCGTGAGTTTTAAGCTACCAGGTCCAGGACGTGAACCGCAGTCGACTACATGGGAGTCCAGCCACATAGCCATTACTCTAACTGCTGGTCCCTAGAAGTATTTATTTTATTTATAATCATTATTTTTTATTTGCCATAGGGCACATGTGCTCACCACAGATAAAGAGAAAGTGAGAAAGCAAGCCATCAGGTCTGGGACTTGAACTACTGTTGGCTTTGTGGGAATCCAGCACCTTAATCACCATGCCACCTGCTGGCCCAATATAAGAGATTATTAAATATGGTTGACCTTACAAAGTTGCACTAAGGATAGATGAGAGGTCTTTTATCTTTCACATTCTTTCATGGAAAATACTGTTTTCATAATTTAGGAGAAAGTGATGAAACAAAAAACATTTTACTGGTGAAATATTAATTTATTACTATCCAACTAATTAAAATATAATTGTTCATTAATATTAATTATTGACCAATCATGATAAATTAAAAAGTAATAATTATGGTTCATCATTTAATATTTATATAACTTATCCATGAAATAATTTCTCCTTTTTTTCTAGTCAAGACCATTTGCTGTTAATACACATACTAAATATGTGTATATTCTATAACAGATACTAGGGGACTTCAAAAAGTTCATAAAAAAATGGAATTAAAGTATGAATTCATTTTGGTGCAATTTTTTTGAAATCCAGATGTCGTTTTTCCATAATATACATTTTTCATGCACATTTTGAAGACTCCCTCTTGAATATGGTATTTAAAATAAAAACAAAACAAAACAACTAAGTATCTGAAAAACAGGGACTGCAGAGGAAGTTGACCAATACATTGAAATAATGAAAAGTCCCTCTGAGGACAAGGGTATTTTCAAACATGGAAAGCTGGTGAGTCACTGGGTGCGGATTGCCAGGCCGTATGTATACGTATGCCGCCTGACCTGTGAACTTATCTGAGGTCAGTGTGATCTTATTCTCAAGTATCATTAAGGAAGGAGGTAACACACTAACTTATCTTCCACAGAATCATTACATTTTTTTTAAAGAGGTTTTTGCTATAGGGCGTGTGCGCTCGCCAGAAAGACAGAGAGAGACAGAGAGACAGAAAGCAAGAAATCATCCCCCAGGGGGAATGGCCATGCCGCAATCCCTTCTCCTCCATTCTCCTCTCGGGTCTTGGGCACGCACGCACACGTGCCTGGCGTGAGTTTTAAGCCACCGGGTCTGGGATGTGAACCATGGTCGACTACGTGGGAGTCCAGCGACATAGCCATTATGCTAACTGTTGGTCCCAGAATCATTACATTTTAATGTCTCATTAAAATAGTTTTTCCTATTGTAGGCTACCACATATTTCTTGCTTTTTGTCTGTCTCTCTCTGTCTTTCTGGAGAACACACGCACCCTATAGCAAAAATCTCTCAAAAAAATTACCTAATAAATCAGAATGATAGAATTAAACTAGCTGCTGAGTCTCTGGGTTTTAGAACCTGGGTTATAAGGAATTTAACTGGGTTTCAGTTAAAAAGTATACAGATTAGGGTGAATTTAGAAGTGCAGAGGTGGGCTCCAGAGTGTCAAGGAAAAAAATGGGAGATGGTTTAGGCCTTAAAGAAATTTGGGAACATTTTATACACGAAAATAATCACTTTCAAAGCCTCTCACATCTGCCAGTAGTCAGCAGACTTGTGTTGATACTTGCCGTTTCATCATTTCCTAATTTCGTTGTTTTCTAGAGTGAGGAGAACTGACATGTGAACTCCCTGGTCCTCCTTATGCAAGAAAGGAAATTCTGTCTCAAATGCAGAGTCACACACACCGGACTGCTGTTTTGGCTTCCTGAAACAGTGTTTCTCCGTCAAGATTAATTTTCCTTAAATCTCATCAACAAAACACTCTTGGACACAGAAACTGAGAAGAGAAAGGGAGAGGAAGTTTTGAAAGAGGAAAGGAGAGAATGAATTCATCCAAGTCATCCTCGTCGAAACACACAGGTACAATTTGCAACTCTTGCTTTTCTTCATAGACTTCCACAGGTGGTAAGAGTGGTGAGGGTGAGACCATAGTAGAGAATTTAATGAAAGAGAGAAGAGAGAGAGAGACAAAGACAGAGACAGAGTATTAGAAGAGCATTTGTGGCACCTGGAAGCTTGCTGGCTTGTGTTCAGGGACAGCTACCAGGCTGCTGTTTCTATCCTTTCTATAATCACCGTGTCACTTTGGGCAGGTCACGTCCTTTCTCTGGAGCTCACTTTTCCTGTCTCTAAAATGTGTACTGGAAGGAGTGGGAGGAGCTACTAGATAAGTGTCAATGTTTAGCTGACTAATTTACAGAGAGCTTGAAATAATAAAATGCTGAAGGGACCAGCAGTTAGCATAATGGCTATGTCCCTGAACTCCCACGTAGTCGACTGCGGTTCGTGTCCCGGACCCGGTGGCTTAAAACTCACGCCGGGCGCGTGTGCATGTGTGCCCAAGATCCCAAGAGGAGAATGAAGGAGAATGGATTGCGGCGTGGCCATCCCCCCAGGGGGTGATTTCTTGCTTTCTGTCTCTGTCTCTCTCTGTCTTTCTGGTGAGCGCATGCGCCCTGTAGCAAAAACCTCTCAAAAAAAAAAAAAAAAAAAAAAAAAAAAAAAGAAAAAAAAGGAAATACTGAAAAGAAGAAAGACATGAGAAAAGCAGAGAGTGGGAAGAAAGATAGGGATAGAGAGAACAACAGCCTTAAAAATATGAAAGCTCTCTTTCTTTCACACTAGAGCCTACAAGCACATATGCACACAAGAAAGCGAGGGGAGCACCCTCCTCAGGGCTTAGTCGCATTGCGAGCCCCTTCCTCCATTTCTCTAGCCCACCAGCATCCCGGGCACGTGCACATAGGCACAGTGTGTTTTCAGGACTACTGAGCCAGAAACTCAAACTGTGGTGGGCTCCCAGTTTCACAGTCCAGTATGCTACCACTGGGCCACAGAGGCTTGCTTGGCCAAGAGTATTCTTATAACTAGGAGCCTTAGAAAGAAAAAGTCCATTTGAGTTTATGAGTCAATAGTCTTTACATTAGTCATGGATTATGCCAGTGGTTCTTACAGTGTGGTCCTCAGGCCAGGAGTATCAGCAGCCCTTGAAAATGTGTGGTTCCAACCGAATTGTTAAATCTGGGGTCAAGGCCACGCGATCTGTTCTGCAGCTCTCCCAGCGGTTCCAACGCATGGCAAAGTTTGGAAATGGCTCAGTAGCTACCGAGTGAGAAGGCCATACGAATCTCTGACATCTTGCTTAGGGAAGATCGACCATGTGTGTGCCTTTCTTTCCACAGGAAGTGAATGCTTCTCTTCCCAAGTATTCTTATGGACGATTGCTGGGGTCTCCATCTCACTTCTCAGTGCCTGTTTTATCACCAGATGTGTTGGTGAGTTCTGAAGGTCGAACCTAATTTAATTCTCTCTCAGTAAGAGTAAACATTTCCTTGCAGTCTGTAGGCTCTTTTCTCCCACAAAGGGCCGTTCTTTTTCTTTTTTCTTTTTTTTAGTGTATTCATTTATTCCATGAAAGATGGATGGGAGAGAGAAAGAAAGAGAGAAGAGAAGAGAATGGGGCCAGGAGATAGTATAATAGTTATGTTGCTGGGCTCCTACGTGGCTGACCGTGGTTTGAGTCCTGGACCTGGAGGCTTGAAACTCATGCCAGGCAAGTGTGCGTGCCTGGCCAAAATCCCGAAAGGAGAGTGGAAGAGCAAGGACTGTGGTGTGGCCATGCCCCTTGGGGGGTGATTTCTCGTTTTCTGTCTCTCTTTCTTTCTGGCAAGCACACATACCTTATAGCAAAAATCTCTATAAAAAGAGAGAGAGAGAGAGAAAGAGTGAGGGCACCCTCCTAAAGGTCTCGACTCTGCATTTCATCCTCAGCTTCAGCCAGCTGGGATTATGGGCACACTTGTGCCTGACACAATCAGGGAGGCCTCTGGATGCACTCGCAGCCTCTCCGTGTGGCTCTGTCTCTCACAACGTGGTATTTTACTGCAGCACTAATATGCAACCCTGTAAATGGTCTCTCTATTTCACTTTCCCCTCATTAATCTCCAGAAACTTCAACTAGTGCCAAACCGATACCAAATTTCAAGGGCCTCTGACATATTTTGCATGACAGACATTTGTTATCTCCTTGGTGGCCTCGAGTCCTCTCCTTTGTCCCTCTGATATTAGCATAACCTTCACCATGAGAGGCTAGCTCATAGCGTAGAGTCACTGGTCAGGTCAAGAGACACAGCAAATTACTTTTCGGAAGGAAGGGTAGAGAGCGTTAGACTTGGCATAAGAGAAAGTACAAGCATTTGTTTTCTTTGAGCTTTTGGGCCTGAAATAAAGTGCATCCATCTTTTAAAAAACTATTTAACTTTATCATTACTGTTATTTTTAGAAACTTGCTACAGGACATGGGTACTTACCAGAGAGAGAGAGACAGGGAAAGTGAGAAAGCAAGCCGCCAGGTCTGGGACTCAAACTGTATTCCACCATGTGGGAGTCCAGCGCCTTACGCACCATGCCACCTGCTGGCCCCAGTGTACTCATCTTTATAGACCAGGAAAGCTATGAAATGTTAACTCCTTCTCCTTTGAGCAAATGGATGCCAGAGGAGATTTATGGCTCATGCAGAGGTAGTGAAAGGAAAAGTAGATAGTAAGAAAGCATTGTGATACTTACTGGCACTTTTCTTTTAAATACAAAACTGAGGAAATTAATTCTTTTCCCGAAAAGAGTAACTGAGGCGCCGGCAGGTGGCGGGGTGGTTAAGGAGCTGGACTCCTGTGGTTCGAGTCCTGGACCTGGCAGCTTGCTTTCTCTTGCTCTCTGTTCAAATTAAAGAAGAAAAATAAATACATTGAGTTAAAAAGAGTAACTAACATTAACTGTGCCTTTCTACTTACAGTGACATACCATATCTTTCGAATTTGTGATGAGAAAAAGTTCCTGCCAGATGAGAATTTCACAGAGCTTTCCTGCTATAATGATAAGTCAGGTATGACTGTCATCGAAGATGAACACCAAAATTTATATTCCAGCATCTTATTTCTTCTAGATTGACTTTGAGATTAAGTAAAATACAGCTAAATAAGGCAGAATTTTTCAAAAACAAAATGTAAAATCCTGCCTATGCACAAGAGAATGATGAAGAATTGCTAAGAATATAGGACTAGAGCTTTGGAAATGCAATTCACATTGGGGCAAGATATCTTGGGGACATTAGAGTGATAAATGATCACTCTAAATGAGACTAACTGAGACTAACTGATCACTCTAAATGAGTCTGAATGAGACTAAACTTTAGGTATTTGTCTGAACGTCAAATCTGAGAGAAAGGTGTTATTACAAGGAGTGTATATTTTATTTCATTCACACCAAAAATGAGGTGAAGGAAAAAAGCATGCAATAGAAAATTTGAAAAATTTGAAAATACCAGACATATACTCCTGCTCTAACACGTCGTCCTGTGCTAAGCCTTAGCAAAACCCTACATGTTGCTCAGAAAGTGGCTTCCTTCTCTGGCCTATAATTTCCTCACTGTTAAATTGGGAGAGATTTGACTATTCTTAATGAACTTCAGAAGCTGAATTCTGTGATTTTAAGCACTTTAGCCTGCTTATACATCACAATTTGAGAGTACATCGTGCGACCCCTAAGATGGCTGCTTAGGGGTCACCTGGATGAAAGGCGTCATTCTGATTTTGGCAGTGTAAGACTAGACGATAGGGCTCTAGCTCAATAGCATAACTCAGGCAGATTACATATCGGGTTGCATTTACCGATGTGTAGAAAATAAGAATTACATTCAAAAGACAAAATTGCTACTTATATTGGAATTATCTAAAGCCTCAGTAAGATACAGGGTATGAACAAGGGGTTCCAAAGCTTCTGACCATAAATGATGGATTGCGTGGCACCAGAGGAAGCCTTCGTTTTTGCACTCAGTTCACTTGGACACTCACTGAAATTTTTTTCCCCTTAGGTTTAGTCAAGAATTGCTGTCCATTGAACTGGGAACATTTTCAGTCTAGCTGCTATTTCTTTTCTACGAACACCATGTCCTGGACAGCAAGTGTCAAAAACTGCTCATTCATGGGGGCTCACCTGGTGGTTATCAACACAGAAGAGGAGCAGGTAGTTGGAGTCCTGGCTCCTCCTGTGTTGTGCTGACAGAGCAATCTTCACAGGGTCCTTCCCTTTTTCCACACATGTGCAGTGTTTGGTCATCAGTGGTTATTTTTTAAATGAATGTGTTAAAATGCATACTTTTTCTACTATTTCTGTATGTCACTACTTAATTTAATTTCTTTTTGTTGCTAGAAAAACCTGAGAAAGGGGAATTTCCATGTGAAGTTCCTTTATTAGTTAGGCAGGGGGAAATGAGGAGGGTGGGAGTTACTTTCCAAATGATGATTATGCTTGTATATATATCACATGGAACAGGCCAAGCACATACTGTTCGTTATCTTTAAGCTGTGATTTAAAATGCTTTATGCTAAATATATTGTAGATTTGGCTACCAGTAATAGTAGGTGAACTTTTTAAAAAAAATAATTATTTTATTTAACTTTATTTATTTATTTTAATTTGATCAGAGAGGGATAGAGTGAGAGAGAAAGTGAGAAAGCAAGCCACCAGGTCTGAGACTCGAACCACAGTTGGCCATGTGGGGGGGGGGGGGGGTCCAGCACCATTAACCACCACCTGCCAGTCCCAGTAGGTAAAATTTGAATGAATGAATGAATGAATTATCCACTGTTGAAGGTTGTTTTATTCTTGTCAGTTTAATTTTCATGATACATATATATATTTTATCACAATAAAGAAATCAGTAGATAATCTTTCATAACTATTTCGGGACCACTTAGCTATCCTCGCTAGATCAGATTGGAGTTTATTACTTTTAATAACAATTACCTTCAACTTTTGTTCAAAACTGAAATAATTAATCTCCTATTTTTTATTGTGTATCTTCCATAGGTATTCCTTTTTCACAAGAAACCTAAAAGAAGAGAGTTTTTTATTGGACTGACAGACCAGGTGGTTGAGGGTCAGTGGCAATGGGTGGATGGCACACCTTTTACAGAGAGCTTGAGGTAAATCGCCTTCTTGTAGTAGCATTGTAAACTAAGTCAAATCTTGAGTTAGTCTACTGTTCAAAGAGAGGTCTCAAAACTTCCTTTCGGGTCATCCACAGTGGCATAGCGGCATCACAATACTCTAATGCTGAAGCCACATGGGAAGGTCCAGAGTTTGTGTCCTGAGGCTTCTCTACACCAACCTGGCTGGCCAAGGGTGCAGTTGGATCATGCTGTGAAAATACTATCA